GGGGGGGGGGGGGGGGGAGGAAGAATAGAGAAGGCTCTGTAGTATTGTGTCAAGTTGATATTAGATAGCAATTGATGTCCAACCCAAGAGGACTATGTATTTGTGGAGACTCCACAACCTTGTATTTCCATTATCCTTTCCTCCAGGAAGTCGAAACTAGAAATTCTTTGATGCTGTTGCTTGTAGTTTCAGTGTGAAAATTTGAAGGAATATTTCTCACCTAACAAAGAAATGGCTCCCATTTGTTGAACTGATTATCTGTGTTTTTAGTAACAATAAGCAGCCATTGAAACTCGCATGTAGTCAAGCAAGTAATGAGTGTCTAGAACTTTATCAACGTAAAAGTAACAAAACAGCTTGAAGATCCAAGTATGTGTTTAACTCTACCGACTGTGAAGTAAAGAAAGACATCCACTTGTTAATTATGGGATCTAATCAATTTAACATGTACAACATCTATTTCTTGTTCAAATTTCATATCGTGTACACCCCCAAATGCCTTAATTTCATTTTAGCGAAAAAGGTCAATAAATGTACCAAGCAAACGCCTTTTTCTCATCTAATACAATCCCCTTAGATCATGATCATGTAATCATACACTTTGCGAACACCACTAAGCATCTAAAGAAACGAAAGAGTAGCAAAAGATTAGCACTGCACAATGCTTAAAATCGGTACTTGGAGAGCTCCAAAATGAACACCGTTTGAAAAGAAAGAACAAAGATGGTAAAAGAAGTTACAGTTTAATCCTAAACATACATAAAACTAGATAAACTACGCAATCAGTAGCCTGCTGGAAATAGAATATACTTTTGTTGCCTCAACACATGTTCTGAACATGTACGTGCTGGAAGCGAAGTTCTTGAATGGCATGAAAGGACATATTATCAACCCCTGGAGTTGGCATAGCCATTTGGCTCATCATCGTCATCCCTGTAACTTCCTTCTGCACCCGGTGTGAAATCACTGTTTACAGATTCAGTCCCTTGGTCTGCACTAAGCTGTTCTTCGACGCCATTGTTCACCATACCCAGTGTGAAATCAGCGTTGTAATTTCCACTATTCCCACCACCATATCCACCACCAAAACCGCCTTGTCTGATACCTCCAGCATCGTTGCCACCTTCACCACTACCATACCCCACTCCTCCACCATAGTTGCCACCACCTGCAGGATAACTGTTGTTGGTACCGTAGTTACCACCACCTCCATAATTGCTGGATGCATAACCTCCAGCACCTGCAAAACTTCCATCTACCCCACCATATCCACCACCGCTACCATAACCACCCCCAAAACTGCCACGAGGCTTTTCTGTGGCATAATTAACCCTTATCTGTCTCCCATGGAGATCCTGAAAAGTTAAATAAGAAATATCACCTGATCCTGGTCCCAAAAAGCTAGTTCGAAAAAATTCATCTCATTTGATCGAAGAAATAGACAAAAGCAATTTGGTGACAATATGAAAGAAAGGCACCAAAAAGTGAAGGTGAATAAAAAAGCTGAAGGCGTTTGTCATTCTTCAAGAATAACTCTCACCAGCAGTTCAGAAAGAAACCTGGACATAATTACCTGGCCATCCAAGGCAGTCAATGCACTTGCTGCTTCTTCAGTTGACGTAAAACTAACAAAGCCAAATCCTCTGGATCTTCCTGTGTCACGATCCATAATAACTCTAGCTGCACGAACCGCAGATATTATTATCCTTTCATCAATTTCAGTGATATATATTCTAATTTGTTCAGAGCAAAAATTAATTTCATAGGCTCTGTGAACCACACTTATGGAGTCCACTGTAAAATTTTACATTAACAGAGGTAAATTCACGAGACAAATACCTTCAATCACTTCACCATGTTGTGAGAATGCCTCTTTCAGAGAGGTTTCATCAGTGCCCCATGAGAGACCTGCAGTCAATAGTTGACAATTATAGAGCAACAAAAAGAACATAGCAACTACAACGGGGAACAAAATCCTTTTACCTCCAACAAAAAGCTTTGAAGAAGACATGCTTCTTATAGCCTGGTAAAGTGATGTTCTAGAGGCACACAGTTCCAAGTTCGCGTGCCTGCTTACACTCTGTTTAAGCATATTTCCAATTTTATTGACAAAAGCCATCTTTAAACCTATGAAAAGGACAGAACGCCAAGAGTCAATATTAAACATCAACATTAAAATAAACGTTAAGATGTTAGATATAGAAGAAATTATTGGTTGTAGAATCAATTCCATTTCCACCATAAACTGCTGAAAGGCACTAGATATTTTGAACCAGTGCAAAACAGAAAAAGAATGGATCGTTGCTTTTCTCTAAGTTCATATTCCTTTCGTCCCAATTTATATGACAGTCTTTCCATTTTGGCACGTCCCAAAATATGTGATCCATCCCGTTAAAAACATTATTCAATACAACTTTCACAACTTCAAAAATTCAAATTCATTCTGATATCAAACACATTCAAATTAACTTTCCAACCATTATTTCAATATTTTCTTTCACTTGCAAGAATATCATAACTAGCTCAAAGTAACATGTTCAGTCAAAGACAATCATATAAAATAGCGTGAAGGGAGCACATATCAAATATTCCACATTTTTCATACAACTAAAAGTAGGAAATCACGAAAATAAACGGGTCATGAACTAATCATTCTATCAATCAAAAAATCCACCAATCCCCACCAACAAAACAATTAAAAAGATAACCTTTTAAGTAGCAACAATCCGCATCCAACTTTGCTCACTATGATATCCAAAATGAGAATTTTCAATCGAGAGGAGCTGGCATAACTAGTTAAAAAGGATCATATAAAAAGTGAAAAAATCCAAAACCAAGACTTATTGTAGTAAACTAGTACTGGTGTTCAAGAAACAGAATGGAAATGGCTAAAACCCTAACCTTTTGACTAAAACTAAACAACTGTGGCTACAAATTGAAACAATAACAATCAATGTAACGGGAGACAGATATATAGGAGGAATTTTGCAGAAGAAAAAACGTACCTTTGTTGCGTTGATGAGAACTTTTCCTTAAACCCGAGCTCAGTCAGTACTCGGTAGTAGTAGGGTTTTAGAAGTTTGTGGGTATAAATAAATATTGTAAAATATCTTGGCCTTCGATTACAATTAGAAAGATCTTGGCCGTTGATGAAAGAGAGTGTACACGTGGCGGTTGTCAACAGATTGGATTAATTGGGAAAAAAAGAAAAAAAATACTCCCTATATTTCAATTTAATTAAGCCCTTGATTAGGGCTGACGCTCCCACATGTTTAGGTTAAGACACATACTAGGTTCTACTGGAAACTTCCTTCCACCAACTCTTAGTGAACCAGAACGATCAAGACCAAGACTGATTTGTGTTCCTTTTTTTTTGGATCACAATTAAGAATGATCAATAAAAATCCCTTATTTTTTCATTTTGACATTGGAAATGCTTCACTCTTTTTTAATTGTTAATAGCAGAATAGATTTTACCTTCAATTTGTTAGAAAAATATAGATTTGGGCACAAGAAAAATCGACAGTAATTAATCTTTGTCCTTAAGGAATTTAAAACCGCACCATCTTGCTGCATGGATTTGTGGCATAATGAATTTAAGCAACGAGATATTTTTTACATACTTAATGCGTCTTAAAGGTAATTTTTAGGTACTTCACGCGTCTTAAAGATAATGTATATGCTCGTAACGCGTCTTAAAGGCAATTTTTACGTACTTAACAAGTCAATAAATTTTTCGATGAGTAGGTGCATCAAAATTTTAAATTAAACTACGCAATATTTAGCTAAGCAATAAAACACTTGCAAAAGAATTATAGTTTCCTAAATCAAATAACATAAAACAAGAAAATAAAAGAAAGTTTACTAATAAAGTAAGCATGAAACCAAAGAGTAGAGAGACTCAAGAGGTTTGGAGTACATGGTGAATTTTTGTTGAAGAAATTTTTGTAGAGCTTGATTTTTAAATTATAAACACTGTTTAAGAAATAATTTTTAAGATTAGTTGTTTGTTTTACACAAATTTTAAGTTGTAAGAATTATTTATTAGGAATTTTTTAGATTGGAAAAGAGTCAATTAGACCACACATGGTGGTCTACATTTTGTTTTGGCAAACAAAATGAGCAAATAAAAATGATAGGGATTCAAATCGTGAACAATACCTCACTTTGAACACTCTCGATTGTTGGATTACCTCACTCAATTGTGTCATGGGTGTTGAAAATATAATATATAGCCATATAAAGTAATATTTAACCTCTCTCTCTCTCTCTATATATATATCCGGCAAAGAGTGTTCACTTGACCATCCTTGGCATTGTATGGCTACATCACTGTACTTAATGCACCTTAAAACGGTTCACATACTTAACGCGTGTTAAATATAGTTTTTACGTACTTAACGCGTCTTAAAGGCAGTTTTTTTACGTACTCAACGCGTCTTAAAGGCAATTTTTACGTACTTAACGCTTCTTAAAAATAATGTTTACGTAGTTAACGCGTCTTAAAGGCAATTTTTACGTAGTTAACGCGTCTTAAAGGCAATTTTACGTAGTTAACGCATCTTAAAGGTAATTTTACACACTTAACACGTCTTAAATATAATTTTTATGTACTTAACGCATCTTAAAGGTAGTTATTACGTACTTAATGTGTCTTAAAGGTAGTTTTAACGTACTTAACGCGTATTAAATGCAATTTTTATCTTAACGGTAATTTTACATACTTAACGTGTCTTAAGGAAACTTTTACATACTTAACACGTCTTAAACGCAAATTACGTACATAACGCGTAAGAAATTTAATTTTTACGTATTTAACGCGTCTTAAAGGTAATTTTTACGTACTTACACGAGTTCAATTTAGTTTTTCCGTACTTAACGCATCTTAAAGACAGTTTTTACGTACTTAACGCCTTTGAAAGTTAATTTTTACCTTTACGG